AATGGTGGCCCTGGCCACAGTGGGGATGGTGGGAAGAGGAGAGACCGGCAGGTTTGGGAGACAGAGTTCAGCGTGATTGGTCAACACAGGCTGAGACAGGCCTAGTTTCTTTTAGGTTCAGGCAGTGATGGTGCCCCTTTTGCTTTAGTGGAAGTGATCCCACTTCCTGGGATGGAGAGCACAGGAAAAGACATGGTTTTGCTGGGGGTAGGGACTTCCGGAGGGGTGCGTGTGAGGTACCTGTGGGACAGTTAAGGGGCAGGTCAGTCTGGAGCTCAGAGAAGTCTAGGCTGGTGGCCCAGAATAAGGAGACCAAAGCACAGAGATGTTGCTTGAGCTCCTGGGAGTGGCTGAGACAGTCCAGGGAGAGAGTAGGATTGCCAGAGAAGGCAGCTTAGGACAGAGCTTGGAGGCGTGCCAAAGTGTAAGGGACAGGAGGGGAAGACGAGCCTGAGAAGGAGCAGTCCCACTGTCACACATGCTCAAGCCGAGGGAAGCGCGTGTCAAGGAGGGAGAGGTCACTAGGCCTCGGGTGCCCTGTAAGGTCAGGTCAAGTCAGGCCCGAAAAGTTTGGGATTTGGCAACACGAAGGCCATTAGTGACCCAGACAAAAGCAGCTATTTTTTTTTTTTTTTTTGCTGGTGAGGTACATTTGGCCACATTGTTCCCTGACATTCTGGATTTCAAAGCAGTGCCCTTCTGGGTCAAGAAGAGTCCGTCACCACTGTCTGGTCTTAGCAGTGGGTAAAAGTGAATTCAAGTCACCCGAGTCTGGAAGGCCCTGGTCGCACTGCTCACTCCTCGGTGGGGTAGCCTGGGACGTCCCCGCCCTCACTAATGGCACAGCCCTTTCAGCTGCTGAGGACAGTCACTCTGTCGCCAGCTGAGGAGGACTGACAGCTGAGGAAAGAAGCTAGAAACTTAGACAGCAGTAGTTGGATCCTAAGGGCTCACAGTTAAGTCGACCAGTTGCCGTACAGCCAGGCTGCGAGTGGCAAAGGGGAGTGGCCCTCGTGGGAACCGAGAGAGACAGCAGGGACAGGGGTGTGGCTGCGGACAAGGCTGGGAAAGTCACCAGCAGGATTTCTGAATCCCCGGCCATGAATGGCTTCTGTTGCATCTCCCTAGAGATAGGGAGCAATTTTGAGCTGTGACCCACTGAGATGAAGAATTGGGTTGTATCATCTTGTCTTGGAGTCTGGGGGGTGGGGAGGCGGGGGGCGGGTGGTAATCAAAGGAGCAAAGACTCTGAATCTGACCCGGTTTTGAATCCAGGGGTGATTCCTTACTTACTAGGCAGGTAACCTTGGACAAGTGACTCGGAACCTCTCTGAGCCTCAAGTGATTCATCTGTGAAATTCGGTTTATGTGCCTGTGTCAAAATTAGGTGAATGTATGTGGAACCCTGGCACGAAGAAGACGTGGAATAAACAACCACTACTGTTATCCTTCTTATCATTTTTAGGACCACCGTCATCAGCATTGTGTTTATGCCGCTGTTACTCATTACAGGGCACTTTCACATGTTCTCACTGAAGTGACTAGAGCTCTTCAGAAGTGGCTTCAGGTCGTGAGCTCCCCACCCTCGAGGATGTGTCAGGGGCCACCTGGCAGGGACACTGTTGGAAAGTGGCTGAACTGGCTGGGAGGCTGGCTTACACAAGACCGAAAGCCGCTGCTTTCGGTTTTATTTGTGTTTTAATTGGATGAAGCAGCCTGATGTCCTCTCAGGTGCATTCCAAGGAGAATTGTATACATTTAAGTTCGTGGGCACTGAGCAAAGGCAAGCCAGACGTGGCCGGCCCTGGGGACTCTGCCTCCCTCTGCCTCCCCAGCTCCTGAGAACTTTCAGGGCTTACCTTAGCCCCGGTCGATGAGAACTTTTTCATGTAAAAAAAATTTTTTTTGAAAGAATCCTTTTATATGGAAGACAGTATTTTTTTTTTAAAGATCACATTGGTCCTAAATGTCTTGGCAGCAGATACTACAGAACGTTTGGATTTATATTTTCTCTCTCATAGAATAAAACCTTCAGTGCCACTACCTCAAGAGTTCTGCAAGTTCATATTATGTAAATACATGTAATAAAATATTTACTTAGGGTTTCCACAAAAGAAGGTCCAAAGGAGAGAATAAGAGAGCTTCTCTTTGCTGGTCTTAGAGGCTCTGATGGGAGTTCTGAGTGAAATTTAAGCCTCTGAAATGTGTTTTGATTGGCCTCCTTCATGTTTTATCTCCTGTAATGAACTCTTTGTCAGTTTGTCAATTTTAACTAAGGACAGAAAGTTCATGTGTAGTAACACACAGACCGAATTTAAAATTATGGTTTATAGCATGATATAATAATCGTCTCTTTTCCTTTAGTCAATATTTACCTGTTAGGCTAATATATTATAATTTTAACTTCAAAAGAAGACACTTTATTTTACCTTCCCCAAGTGTTGGTTTTAGATACTTGTAATATCAAAATTGGAAGTTGAGCCGTCTGAGGCTCTTGGCCACATTGTCTCAGGGTTGAGTTCCTCGACCATCGCAGGGCAGGTGCCCCTGCTCCCAGTGACCCAACAACTGTGAACTCTGAGCCACACTGGTTTCTCTCTGCTTTCCAGAAGGCCCCTCTCCTCTGTGGGAAGTGGGCCTATTATATTATCCCACAGCCTCCGAGATCTCTTAGACAGACTTTGGTTTTCCCCAGGGTATTACTGTTACAGGACTAGGCAGAAAAAACCACTGAATGCCCTGTAGGAGGGTAGTCCCTGTAGATGAGGAGTGGGGAATCGTAAATTCTGTTCTGTCCCTGAACCCCTTGTTTTAACCACCCCATGCTTAAAGAATTTTCCATTTAAAAAAAAAACTGAGGGAAGAAGGGTCCCCCAAAGAAGGAGTAGGAGGATAATAAATGGCCATAACATTTGCAGATAAAATGTGTGATACTTTAGGACTGACTGTGTAGGCAGCCAGGAGCAAGTAGTGATGTGCTCAGAAGCTCTTCTGAGTCAACTTGGGTGTCAGTCAAGACTCTTCCTGTGAGTCATAACTGAAAAGGAACTGATTGATTCATGAACTGCCAAGTCCATAGGTAGACTAGTTTCAAGTTCAGCTGGATCCTGGAGTTCAAACAAGGCCATCATGATTCTCCCTTTATTTCCTAGACCTATTAATCTCTATATTGGCATGATTGTTTGGCAAAGATGTTTCCTTGGCAGCTCCTGACTTATGCCGCTCCTTACTGTCCAGGGTCCCAGCAGAGAGATCCTCTTTCCTGAAGTTACTATGAACAGGGATGGGGTATAGTGGAATTACATCAAGCATATATTTAAAGATTTTATTTATTTATTTTAAAGAGAAGCATGCGTGCGAGTGGGGGAAGGAGTAGAGGGTGGGGGAGGCAGAGGGAGAAGGGGAGAGAATCTAAAGCAGTCTCCACGCTCAGAGTGGAGCCCGACGTGGGGCTCCATCTCACGACAAGATCGTGACCCAAGCTGAAACCAAGATTTGGGTGCTCAATCGACTGAGCCATCCAGGCACCCCAAGCATATATTTAAATTTGAGCAAATTCACCTTTATGTTGATATCATCGGTGTACCTCTGTCTGCCCACGATGCGCTTGTCATTTTGTAACCCTACTTTACACATGTACTCTTTTTTTGTATTCCGTCCACTCTGTTCATTCTCATATATGTATGTAAGTGTGTATGTGTGTTTGTGTATAATCATATATGCTGTATTTGAGAGCTGGTTTATGGGATGTTCAAGAGTAAATCTTAAATTTATAACCTAACCACCCCCTCAACCCCGCTTTCGGTGTAATTCCACCAGCCTACATCATGTGCCCATCTCTTTGGCAGAACTGGTAGGCAGGGCCCACTCCACCAGAAAGGGACAGGGCAGTTCTGTAAGGGGAGAAAAGTAGGTCTTTTACCAGAAAGGAAAAGACAATAGGCAAACAAACCAATTATTAATTCATTCACTCAACAGGTATTTGTTGAGTGCCTATTATTTGTCTGGCATTCTTCTTAGGTACTGGGCCTAGACCAGTGAACTTTACACAAAAGGTTCTGCCTTCCTGGAGCTTACATTGTAGGGAGAGAGGCAGACAGTAAATATGTTAGCCAATAAAAATACACTGTGATATCTGGCAGAGATGAGTGCTCTGAAGAAAAGACCATGGTAATCATCTTCATTTATGGATTAGGTGCTTTGACAGTGCAGGTAGAAGAAACAGAGGGCAGAGAATCTCCTCTTGTTCCCAGATTCTCTTTGAATTGATCCTTATAAGGTAAGAAGGATTTTGATAGGCAGGTCCTGTTGAGACGATCCCAAACATAAGAAAAAACCATGAGCCAAGCAAACATGTCAGTGGGATGAGGTAAGGTATGTTCTGGGAGTGGAAAGAGGTTTCCCATGACGGCTGTATGCAGACATGTGGAAGGGGGAGCTGGAAGGCTGGCAAGGCACGTGGCTTACAGGCTAAGGAGTGGCATCACCAGGTCCATGGCTGAGAAAATTCCAGGCCACAACGTGCAGGGCTAAGTAAGAAGGCAGAATCAAGGTAGGAAGGCCAGGTGTAGGGCTCAACATAAAGGCTGTGCTCGGAATGGACAGGAAGAGTAGAGACTTCAGAGGCAGTGTCCGCAGGATTCGGGGACTCCCTCATTTCTAGTGCCCTGAAAGGGCTCATTCACCATCCAAAATGAGCCTGCTTTGGCAAGTCTGCTGATGTTTACAAACACAAGAGGCCTTTAGAAACAGGAAACATCTTGCGAAGATGGTTAATGTTGTTTCTTGAGGATAAAAATCTCACCATCTGCTAGTATATAGTGAGGAAAGTAACCACGCAAATCACCGGGGGCAGGTGGAATCCCCAGCAAGACTGGAAACGGTGACCTGCACCTCAAGTCCCGGGGCCTCCGAGAGTGCCCCCAGTCTCGGGAGGGATTCCCGGGAGGGATGGCCTTGCCCTCTGCACCACACTGATCAGCCTCCTCCTGCATTTACAGGCAACTTTGAAGTGGGGGTTCACATTGCAGATGTCAGCTATTTTGTTCCCGAGGGATCCCCCCTGGATAAAGTGGCTGCTGAGAGAGCTACAAGCGTCTACTTGGTTCAGAAGGTGAGTCTCAGTCTCCAGTTCCTTGGATTGAAGGACATCCTATTTGATCTGCTTCCTTTGTTTGTCTCTTTTTTTACCAAAAAAGAAAAAAAAAAAGTCATGAGGAACAGCAATCTTGTCTGAACATCTTTTCTTACATCCAATGAGATCTTTTAAAAAATGATTTTGTCTCCCTACAATGTAAGCTCCAGCAAGTGTTCCCCCTCGGTGGGGTTGCATGTTTTCCTTACATATTCAAGACGAACCATACCATGGCAAGACACAGGGACCTGTCTCAGGTTTCAGACTGGCCCTGCCACCTGAGTAACTCAGACAGGTGCTCATGTCAGAAAGAAATGAGGGAAAGTAACTGCTTTCAAGCTATTGTTCCAAAGCAGGGCTCAGCAAACTCGGCCCACACCAGCCACAGTTTTTATGAAGTGTTTTTGCAACACAGCCACGTGCTGTAATGTGGCATTTTAATGTCTATGGCATTGTCACACTATGACAGAATGGAATGAAATGCCTTTTGAGAAAAAGTTTCGACCCCTGTTCGAATCTGCTCCTGCCTTGCCCTCTACAAGATAACCTGGAATCTCAGAGATGGAAAAGGATTTCACCAGAGAAGATCTATAGATGACAAATACACATGTGAAAAGATGCTCCACATGATACGTTATCAGGGAAATGTAAATTAAAATAACAGCGTGTCCCACCCAAAAAAACAGGAACTCTTGGGTACCCATCAACTGTAGCTCGAACAAGTCAGTTGTGTGGGTTCACACCATAGGACTAGAGAGCCCAAGTGGTGGGGGGGACTGCCCGTGATTCCTCATCTGGGTCCTGATTACATGAGCTTTCACTTAGTGAAAAGGTACAGACTTTCCCTTTATGACTTGTGCACTGGTGTGTGTGTGTATTATACTTAAATAAAGGTGTTTTCATTTTGAAGCTTTTTGGGCGATGACTTTCGCTCCACTCTGGCTCCTTTTAGTGCAGGTACCCGGCCTATGCAGACAAAGGAACAACTCAAAAGCCAGGCCCCTCACTCACAGCTTGGCTCTCCTGAGAACAGGGCTCTGATATTTGTACATTGTTTACACTTAATATAGCCTCAGGTTAAAGATATCCCGTCCATACCTCCTGCCCCAAAAATGGATTTGGCCAACTCTGGCCTTTGCCTGGCCCAAGGCCTCTGAAGGAAGGGAGATCAGACTCCAAAATCCCTTAAATCTACAAAACTGTGATGTTATGATGGAAAGAGAAACAGAAGTGACAATCTCTTAGACTTTCAAGACCACAGAAAGTGAATAAATGTGAATTGTTCTCCCCATGTAGAAAAGTTTAACTCTGTTCTTCAGATTCAAATATTTAAGAATTCTAGACACAATTAGAGGTTCTTCTAAGCAGGTGGTTTTCTCTTATCTAGCTGTTGCATTCTCCTTTTATAACCAGGAATTACGTTTCAAAATCAGAAAATGGAAAAATAAAATCGGGTTAAAAAACGAAGCACATTGCCTCTCCTCTCCTCTTCTCTTTGTTTTCGTGATTGTCGCGGTTCTAGAATTTCTCTTCAGGACTGCAGAGTTGGGGCTCTGCTCCTGAGCTCTGAAAAGTGCAGAGCTGGATGGAGGAAGGGCCCGTGTGCCCCCGAGTGGCTGTGGGCCCCTGCTGCCCACCTCGGCCCCCAGCTTGGCTGGAGCGAGTGACGCCAACCCACAACCTTGGACAGCAGCAGCTGTGCATTCTGGTTCCTTTGAACCACAGCTCTGACCTTTCTTCCTACTCATTTTTGTTTCTTAAAGGACTGTGGCCAGGAACTTTGCTGTTTTCACTTTACTTTGCCTATAAAGGTCTTCTTAAAAGCTGGATGAGCTGCTTACCTCTTCCTCCAGATTCCCTGCTTTCTCATTTGGCAGAATCATTTCTCCCAACTTTATCAGATGGGGGAAGGCGTGTGTGCGTTGGGGGTGGGGGGCCGGGTGGTTTCCCACATAGAGGGAATGTGGCACCGATTTCTTTTCATTCAGTGCTACTGGCTTATAAGGAGCTGATACCAGAATTACAGTCAAAGCTTGATTTGGGGAATTATCCCATAGATCAGGACTATACAATAATATACAAATTTGGACCCGATGTTGGGTCCAAATTCCGTTTTACTGTCTTTAAAATGAAATTCTTTCTGTTGGGATTTTACTCACAGTAATAAGTATTTGGTTATTCTCATTAACAACAGAGTATACTCAGGAGGAAAGATAAATTGAAATATTGTCCATTGCAGTCCCATGAAAAGGACACACTCTTTCTTTTTGACAAAAATTAGGCATCTGTTCATTTAACTGACTGAGGCACCCAGGTGCACCTAGGCATCTGTTCGTTAAGGGGACAAGTATCTACCTGAGTTTAGGCCTGTCCTTCTCAGAAGGATGTGACATCTACCCAGTAAATGTCTCCTGTCTTCCCTGAGAGGGAAATACGATGAAATTGTAAAATGTAAGGTAATTTTAAAAAAATAAGTGAATTAAGTTTTAAAAGTAAAAGAAACCCTAAACAGTTGAAACCTAAAGCTAAATTGTCTGCCTGTTGGCCCCAGCACCCGTGTTATTTTAGGTGTGAAACAGCTCAAATGAAAGTTTGCCCATAAATCTCTACGATATTTTATTGGTACTGCTTTATAATAGAGATCAAAGATTGGGATTGGAAGCCTGTCTTAACGTGGAGTCCAAAGAGTTTTAAGATGTTTCTTTCTGACCCCAGCAGGTTGTCAGAGTGTTGATGTTTTGTTAATGTCCAACTGTGTAGCAAGGAGTTGATCAAATTCGGAATTCATGGAAGTGTTGATATGAAAAAGAAAACTCTTTAAACAGAGATATTGGCTGGCAAATGAATGATCTGTTTCCTTTTAAGTTGTTTCAGTGTGCGAGGGGAGAGCTAGCTATACCTTATTGTTAAAACCTTGAAGTCCTCAGAGAAAGGGAGAAAAACTCCCTAAGTTCTCAGGCTCTGACAGCCAATGGGCTCTGAGGGTGTGAGGGAGTTTGTGAGCCAGTGAAGGCCTGGGCTGAAAGAGGCAGAGGAGGCCCCTGCTGCAGCTCTGGGGTGGGTCGCTGACATCTGGCTCCCCTGAGCTTTGGAAACAGCCCCCCCACCCCCCGTCGCTGCTAGTCCCTCCTGATCCTCTTTGCACGGATGATTGATTCTTCCCCTCTGTGGCCCTTTCCGTTGGTCACAGGGCTGTCCTGGCTAACCCGTTGCTGAACTTGGCCAGCCTGCCCGCTGTGGCTTTAGCAGATGTTTCTGCTCTCTGAGGCTAATATAAGATTTTATAGTCTTGTTGGTACCCCCACCCAGCTGCCTTGGGCAGTGGCGTATTTACCTAAATGATCAGTTTCTCTCAACTCTCCCAAGCCCTAGTCCAGAATGCTTAGAAAGTCGGTGTCCTGTCACCATGTCCCTTTTTTCCATGACCAGCTTTTAAGCCGTGCCCTGACCCAACTTTGATGCTGGCCCGAAACATGCTTTAGGAGATGAAGCTCCCTTTAAGCCCCTTTCCTTTCTTCTCTTGCTGCCTGAAGGGCTGCCTGTCTTTATCCAGTTCCTATTTGTTGAGGACCAGCTGTGTGCCAGGTGGCTGGTGTGTAAAGATGAGAGAGATGCTGATCTTGCCCCGGGGAAGTCAGAGGAGGTGGGCACGTAACAAACACAGTACACGGGGCCACCTGCAGTTATAGAAGTACTCCCAAGGTGAGGGAGTATTCAGGAGGAGAGAGAAGTTGTAGCTGCCTGGGTTGGTGGTAAGAGAGGAGCTTCCACAAGAGCCACAACATGGCTTCACAAAGCAATGGATTTTTGAGCAGTGTTTCAAATTTTGAGTCGAAAATTTCTAGGTAGACACGTGAGTGGAGAGGGCATTCCAGGCAGTGGCTCAAAAAAGCATGGAACATTCAAGGAACCATTTGTAGTTTGGAATGGCTGGGGTATAAATTGCAGGAGGAGCCAAAAGATGAAGTTACAAAGAGAGGCCTAGAGTGGCAAGCTAAGGAGCATGGACTTCATCTTGAGGACAAGTAGGGAAGGGACATGGTCTCCTTTGTCTCAAGTAGAAAATCACCCTAGCAACCATGTGGTTGAAGAATAATGAGGCCAGAGGGAGGAAAATTGTTATCAGTACCAGGGCCCTTTCCCTCAACCGTGGCCCCTTGAGGCTTTGAATAACCACCCCAAAATACACAGAGATTTTTTTCTCACAGAATTTTAGGAGAGTTTATCAACATGCTGGTGTCCAACTGGACCCCAGGAGAACTAGAGCCATTGATGTCTTCAGCCTGGTGCTAAAATGGACATCCTGAGCAAGAAACCCCCAGCTGCATCCCCTCCCTGTCTAGCAATCCGTATCACACAACAAAGAGTCCGACTAGGCAAATAGGGCAAGTTAGCTTCCCTCTGTTGTCTTTGCTTTCTCCTTGGAGATAGGGTCTGGAGGCCCTCTGCCAGCTTCTCACTGAGAGCTCTTGGCCCCTGTTGACCTTTGGCCGCAGATCATGGAGGGTCCAGACTTTACTGGAGACCTCTCCACTCCATTGAAGGTGTTTGGACCCTCCCTCAATTAGCAGGACAAGCAAAGAAATCACCTTGGGAATTCAGTTTATCGGCTATTGGAAAGATAAAGGCCATGTGTCCTACTGTAAATGTAATTGCAAATTATCATTGGGTGGAAAAGAGTAAGAAGATGCAGAAGTCTGGAGAATAATAAGGAAATCTGACCCAGAAAAATTTCTACTCCACAACTCTGCTGCTGGTGTAGGAGACTATTAGAATATAACCCAAGAGAGATGAGTATGTCCATACTTGAAGATGGAGAGGAGAGAAGATTCATTTGAGAGAGATTTAGTTGTAAAACCTACAGAACCTGGGAACTGATTGGATATAGCAGAAGGAGGAGAGTGGGGAAATCACAACATAACACCCAGTTGTGTTCTGTGGGAGGGGTGTGTGTATGTGTATGTGGTTTGTTGTTGTTT